TTGTTAGTACTAGTAAGGCACTTGTTACTAGTAGCGATGCACTTGTTCCTAGTAGCGTCCTTGCTCCAAGTAGTAAGGCCAGGAGCCCCTAGTAGCTTCTTGCTACTAGACAGCTTGCTCTGGAAAGCTTTGTGGATTTTAGAGATGTGCATCAAGAACATCAGTGTGTGCATCAGTTTTGGACAGTTGTGTTTGGGGCTTTTCCCACCCCTGTTCCCACCATGTGTCAATTCACAGGACCAGGGTTGCTTAACGAGGTCAGACAGACTGGCTGCTTCCAATTGATTGTGATTCAATCCTGATGACGTACCAGGGACAACGGATCGGGATCCTAAAATGTTTAGACCATCCAAAAAGGCTTCTCAAAGCAGCTTTTTAGAGTGTCTTAGGCATTCGTACCTCCGTGACTGCATTCTTGGGCCACTTTCTCGCTTCCGATTTTGTACAAGATCCATTTGCACCTAATTGAAGTCTACGAAAACCCTCTCTACGACACAAAAGACCCAAGTGTGCGTCGCCTCAGGTGGTGAGCGCCAAAGTCATGAAGGAGTCACCGGGCCGAATTTGTGTAACAAGGACGCTACTAGGGGCTCCTGGCCTTACTACTAGTAACAAGAAGCTATTAGAAACAAGAAATAAATAGAATTTACAGTAATTAGAATTAGTTTAATTAGAATTGAATTAGAATTAGTAGCAAAGGAGCTACTAGGACCAATTCGCGCGCGCGGGGGGGGTAGGAGCAAGGACGCTACTAGAAAACCATCAGCCGAATTTGTGCCTTAGGAGAGGGAGGGACCTCCGCAAAAGGAACCTACTAGCAGCCTCCAACCTAGTAGCGAGGGCCTCTGAGGAGAGCCTTAGGAACTAGAGATTCTTTTGTTTTCTCTTCTTCACGTACCTTCAGTGAAAGTGCAGGTCCCTATGATTCACCCCGCAAGTGGTGCATAAAGACATGGCTCCACCAAGAGGGGCTCAACGCTGTTCAACTATTTTGTCCCCTGTTCCAACTGTTCGTTCCAACAGTTCCAGTCAACTAAAGAAAAGGCCTTACCAACCAAGCTAATGCAAGATATGATCCTAGAAAGGGTCTGGGAGCTTCTTTTGAGTTATAAATAGAACAGAAAGTATCTATCTCCAACAAACAACTATTAGGTTCTTCCCCCATTAGGTTGGA